CATCCATCCATCCATCCATCCATCCATCCATCCATCCATCCATCCATTATCTTTACCCGCTTTTGCATTCTTGGGTCACGGGGGTCACAACCATTCACTCTCTCATTCACATCTAGGGACAATTTCGAGTTACCAATCAGCCAAACATGCATGTTTTTGGTCTGTGGGAGGAAACCGGAGTACCCGGAGGAAACCCATGCATGCACGGAGAGAACATGCAAATTCCACCCAGAAAGGCCCCCGGCTGGGATTTAAACCAGGGGAATTTGTTCGCAGAGAGGCGGCAGCTCTACCAACTGTTTCACCGTGCTGCTCCATCAAAACCAACATTTTAAAAATTTATTTTAATTTTTATTATTGAGAATAAAGTTGGAGACATGGAATCTGAATGGGCCGCTTTCAGGGCCTCTATTGCACATGTGGCTTCCAGAAGCTGTGGTCTGAACGTCACTGGTGCCTGTTTGGGCTCAACCAAAGGACTTGCTGATGGAGGCCGTCAAGTTGACAGAGGCCTTCAGGATTTGGTCATTCCTGGAAAGTCTAAAAGCAGCTGACAGGTACAGGGTGGCCAGAAGGACTGCAACTTCAGTGGTTGCAGAAGCAAATATTTGGTCATGGGAAGAATTCAGGGAGACCATGGAGAAGGACTTTCAGTGGGCCTAGAAAAAGTTCTAATAAATAGTTTGGCGATTCAGAAAGGAAAGCGGACCCTATCCCCTTTGTCTCAGGTGGAAGTGTTCAGTTATCTGGGCATCATGTTCATGATTGATGGTAGGATGGAGCGGTAGATGAATCAACGGATTTGGGCCTCATTCTCAGTAATGAGGGCATTGCTTCAGTCTGTCGTGGTGAAAAAACAGCTGAGTTGAAAGGCAAAGCTCTCGATTAACTGGTCTGTCTACATTCAGGTCTCTCTTGTAAATGAGTCCCTGAGACTCAATGGGATTAACCTGTATAAATAAAGGTTGAATGAACATTACAAACCTTACCTATTTTCACAAGGTTTGGATCATGACCAAAAGAATGAAATCCTGGATACAAGCGGTTGAAATGAGTTTCCTTTATAGGGTGGCCAGGCTCATCCTTAAAGATTGGGTGAGGAGGTCTGTCATCTGAAGAGTGCTCGGAGTAGAGCCGCTACTCCTCCGTATCGAAAAAGAGTCAGTTGAGGTGGTTCGGCCATCTGATTAGGGTGCTTCCTGGACACCTCCCTTTGGAGGTTTTATGGGCACGTCCCACTGCTAGGGGGCCCTGGAGAAGATCCAGAAGTCACTGGAGGGATTGTGTATATTCTCAAGCCTGGGAATGCTCTGGGGTTCCCCAAAACAAACTGGAAAGTGTTGCTGGGGAGAGGGATGTCTGGGTTTCTTTCCTGTCCTCCGTGACCCGACTACGAATAAGTGGTGGATGGATGGATGGAGGGATGGATGGATGGATTTCTTAAATCAAGTTAGTTTTAAGGGCAGCACGGTGGCACAACTGGTAGAGCTGCTGCCTCTCAGAGCGCAGGTCTTCGGTTCAAATCCCGGTCCGGAGGCCTTTCTGGGTGTGGTTTGCATGTTCTCTTCGTGCATGCGTGGGTTTTCTACGGGTACTCCGGTTTCCTCCCACGGACCAAAAACATGCATGTTAGGCTGATTTGTGACTCTAAATTGTCTCTAGGTGTGAGTGAGAGAGTGAATGGTTGTTTGTCTCGTTTGTCTCTATGTGGCCCTGTGATGGACTTGTGACCTGTCCAGGGTGTCCCCCGCCCCTCGCACAATGATTGCCAGACATAGGCACCGGAAACCCCCGTGAGCCAAAATGGAAGAAGTGGGTAAAAAGATAATGGTTGGATGGATGGAAGTTAGTTTTAAGCAGCACATTTTTTGCCATGTGCTTAAGTAGCCAACTTTTATTTGGTTTGCTCTTATTCATCTCAGTTTCAGACGTTCACCTACAATTTAATGGCTCTCTTTTTCTTTTAGTTTGAATTAAAGTTAGACCAATTTAAATGGAATTAAACTGGACTAGATTTAATTTGATTCTAAAATCTAAAGATTAGACTGGAAATTTAAATATGACTGTACTGAAGTGAACCATACTTGAGTAAACTGAAATTAATTGGTATGTTTAGTAAGGGGTTTGGAACAAGCATGTTTGTCTTGTCCCTACCAGTTTTCTTTTTACTTGTTTTAATGTGTGCCTCCTCATTCATAAACTAAAATAAATCTATATTTATCTGCAGATGAAAAGAAATTCTTCCAACCTGTATTTTGCTTCGTACTGGATTGGTCTGACTCTAGATTTTGACAAAACAATTCAGTGAGTATAAATTTATTACAAATTAGAGGAAATATTTTTATTTATCCAAAAAAATATATATATATATATATATATGACTTCCATTATGATGTGTGATTGCATGTAGGGCTAAGAAAAGTCACTGTCAAAAATTGGATTGCCATGTGAAAATCCAACATGTCCACCATTATATATATATATGTAAACTGGCCACCCAGGTCATTTGAGGAAACTATACTTTCAAGTTTTTATATTGCTTAAAAGTATAGTTTCATCAAATGATTGGGGTGGCCAAATATTTCTCTATGGTGGGCAAGGCCACCAGTGGCCACTTCCTTACTCCAGCATTGCATGTGGTAGTGGATAAACTTGCTCCATGCACTCGCCACAGTCCGTCACTCTGCACGGCCTTTGGCAAGCAAAACAAACAAACAAACAAACAAACAAATAAAAACAACATATTTTTATACACACTGTAACTCCTACCCACTTGAATAACTTGCATCAAAAACAACAAGGTTCACTTGCATTCCCAGTTTAATTCTAGTCTACTCATCTCTAAAAATGGCAAACATTCACTATTCAAACCCCTCAGCAATGTGGGTATCGGCATACCACTTGTTGAGTTTGGATTCAAAGGTTTTTGCCAATGCATTATTAATATTTTTTAAAGTATAGTGTTTTATTGATTTTATGTCAATATTTAATGTTTACTATCTTTATTTGATTTAATGTAAAAGCTTGTGTTTCATTTAGATGGATGGATGGTTCTCCAGTGTTATTTACACGATGGTATATTGGCCAGCCTGATTTCAGAAATTTTGATGAGAACTGTGTTGCCATGCGGCATTTAACTGGTGAGTATTATAATTCATTTATACTTCCAAAAATCAGAAATGATGTTCAAAGTTAGGCTATATTGTTACATTACAACACTGTATTTAAGAATTTATATTCATAACTCATGTTATTTCGATGAAATAGAATTGTTGCAGATTTTTATAATAAATTTCAAAAATATATAATAAATACTGTGAATTAATAAAAATTAAATAAGAAGTTGAATAACAATGCATAATATGTTGTTTACTGATTATAATATATGTAATTTATTTTGTTTCACAGGATTTTGGCACGATTTTAACTGTGGACAAGAAAATCCATCCATTTGTAAGCGCAGTAAGTCACCACTTGCCAACACCACAATGGTTCCTACAGTGTCCCCTAAAGGTGGCTGCAAAGAAAACTGGAAAAAACTGAACTCTAAGGTGAGATTGGTTTGTTGCAGGAATAACCTCAAAATGGATACAGTTGTGCTTGTACGTTTGTGAAGCTTTTAGAATTTTCTATATTTCTGCATAAATATGACCTAAAACATCATCAGATCTTCACACAAGACCTAAAGTACAAAAAAGAGATCCCATTTAAACAAATGAGACAATAATATTATAATTTTTGTACTTGGTCATTTATTTATTGAGGAAAATGATCCTATATATAATAATATAGAATAATTTCAACAGTTGTAAAACTTTTCTGTTGTTACAACTCCAGTGCTACAGGATCATAAACAACCAGAATTTGACCTGGTTTGATGCAAGAGAGCACTGCAAAGACATGGGTGGAAACCTGGTCTCTATTCCTTCAAGACATGTGCAAGGTTTGTTTTCTCATAAAACCTTTCAGTCTCCTAATCTCCATATTTTAAAATCCACTCAGAGCATAAACGTGTCAACAAAGCCTAAATTCGGGGAATGCAAGAAAGTCATGTTGAGTTCATAAAAGTTTATGTTTTTGTTGGTTTTAAATTCACATCTTGTTTAAAAAAAATCACAACAGTCTAGAGATAAAATAACAAGACTATTTTTTATGTTTTATGGAAATCTGTTCAAACAAGCCAAAATGTATGCGTTTAAAGAGTTGTTGTTACCTGTGTGCACGTGTATTTGTTTGTTTGTGAACAAATGTCTTAAACTACTGTACGGATCAGTTTTACAGATAGGAGCTAAACTTCAATGTAGTAGTAGCTGAGAGTCATTACCGTCACACATGCTAACAAATGGCTAGTTATCATTGTTTCAAACCGTAGATAAAACGCATTTCTTCAAAGAAACACTTGTTTAACTTTTTTCTGTTATGTCCTAAATGAAAAACAAAGTCGTAATTTTTTTTTTTATTATTATTTGTTTGAAAAAACCTAAATACAACATGGAGAATAAAAATGAGTAAGGATGAAATTTGAATTCAAGACTCAAGTTCCATTGCATTAATAAGTTTGTACATTTCTGAAACTCTAATTATTGCTTTGCATTTTCAGTGTTTTTATTGTTTCAAATGAGTACAGCACAGACATCAGACCTGTGGATTGGTCTCCATAATCTGTATGATTATTGGTTTTTATGGACTGATGGACAGCCAAGGTCATATATGAACCTTGATATGTCGGTAAGTGATTGTTGATTTCAAAACAAAGTAAATTTCTCCATGAATACCATGTACTTGATCATAAAATTCAAAGAAAAGCATCAGTAAAGAATGTATATATTTTCCTTTAATGATTTCTAGACTTCTAGAACAGCTTCTACCCTGAGGCTGTTAAGACTTATGAACCTCCAACCAGGAAAAAAAATAATTACTGTGAAAAATCACTGTAATGCCACTTGGTTGTTGATATGTGCTGCTGACTATTCATGATGCTGATCTCATGCTGCTGATTATTTCATGTTGCTGTGTTCATTAGTCCTCATCTGCTCACACAGACTCATGTTTGTGCTGCTGTTGTTTTGGCGTATTGTTTTTGTACCATTAGTACTTAGTGTATTCTTAGTCTTGTGTATTCTTAATTTAGTGAATGTAGTATCTTCTTAAATCATGACTCGGCTCTTACTAATGATTTTCTTTACAATTTTTGTTTTTGTTGGATGTAACTGGGACCCTGCGTACATAGTTTCATCCCACCTCATGTATTACATGTGGTGTGTATGACAAATAAATCTCTCTGACCTCAAATACAGGCATAAAACACAACATTATTTATCTATGTAAAGCTTGCTAGTTCGCTTTCATTATTTATAATCCATTTGCTTCTTTCATCCAAGGAGTCTGATAACCATTGTGCTGTGATGAACACTAATCCTTTAATGGGTATTGGCATTTGGATCGCAAAGTCCTGCAATGACACTTATGGATTTATATGTATGCAAAATGTTGGTAAGATAAACTCTTCTTTAAGTGCATACCCAAAATAATAAAAACAGTTAATTTTTCAGTAAGTTCACCTAAAGCAGTACTTTTCCTGAACTTCCCACTATCTTCACCATTTCACCCAATCTTGCTTCTTCTTTTTTTACCTAATCATAAAAGCTAAAGTGTAAACTAAATTAAACTGTACACTTTATAGTTTTTTTAAGTAATGTTTCCCACTTGCCCAGTATTTGCTGCAAGAGTCAGTTTTCTTCTGTGGAGTCTTCATTAAATGTTGCACTAACGCTATGTTAAGTATTACTGTGGTGTAGTTTAAAAAAATCAATGTGTTTCTGCTCCCGCTCTAAACAGATCAATCACTCCCTGACTCTCCTGAACCAACACCTTCTACCAACTACGTCAAACTATTTAATGACTCAATCAAACACATCCCTCAACAAATGAGCTGGGATGCAGCCAAGAAGCACTGTGAAGATGATGGTGCAAATCTGGCTAGTGTGCGTTCAGAGTGGACACAAGCTTACATAGAGCTGCTGGCTATGAATTTCAAGACTCCTATATGGATTGGACTCAACAAAGCTCAGGTATGGTGTTAAAATTGTCCTAAAGGACATAGTCAACATGTCCATTCAAAACTTTTTTTTTCTTCTGACAACACTTTCTTTTTTCAACGAGGATTCCCGTGATTAGACCGGTGATTAGATAAAAGTCATGGAGGAAAGCAACACTAGACATTTTAACAGTTTAAGGCAAGATTTTATGTCATACTTGCACAAGATGGGTGTCAGTCAACAGTTATGTCCTGATAAGTTGCTCAGAGGTAGTAGTAAAATCCTGATGGGTGGCAAATACACCAACTTGGGGCAGAGATGGGGTAGAGGCAGAGCAGCTGACTTGGGACTAGAAAGTAGTGATTCGACTCCCAGCCTTTCTCACATGTTGTGGTGTCTCTGAGCAAGACACCCAATCCCAAAATTACTCCCGGGGCGGTTACATAGATGCCCACTGCTCCACCTGGGTGTATGTCAGGTGTGATGTGTTAAATGCAGAGAACTAACTTCACCATTGTATGGGATTATACATTGATGCCAATCTCAGACTACCCGTCCCAACTGTCATAGATCTGAAGCAGGACTTGGCCTTTATGATATTTTGACAGTATAATATCCTTGAGCAAAAACACCAGAGTTTTACAAAATCTAAAAAGCTTTATTTTTTTATCATTACATTTAAGCTCAATAACCTTGCTTCTATAAACCTATGTTACTGCATCCTTTTAAAAGGACATCATAGTGCAATCTACACAAAAGAATAGATAGAAGATGGATGGAAAACTTATTTGTCATTCAATGACACAAAAAAAGTACTCAAGAATGAAATTGTGTTTCATTGTTTACTCGCAATCTCATGGTCAAACTCGGGTCTTTCAGTGAAGAAATTCAAGATTGAGAAGGTGAAAACCGAGGGGTGCCAGTTTGCTTACTAGATGCTGTGGGATTAGGTATTGTATTGAAAGCAGAACTAAAATCAATATACAGCATCCACATGAAGGTGTTCTTCTCCTCTAGATATTGGAGATACGGATGGAGTGCAAAGAAATCTGCATCCTCTGCGGAATGGTTTGGATGATAAGAAAACTGGCACAAGTCAAAACCAGAAAGTAGTTTGGAGACAAAAGGCTGTTTTATGAGCCTCTCAAAGCCATTAATCATTACTGAAGTTCCACGAAGCAGTAATCAGTCAAGCATGATCACTGTGGACTTCTTGGGTACTGATATGATAGTAGCTGTCTTGAAACATGATAAAACAATAGCTTGGTTCAGCGAGGTTTTAAAAATGTCTGTCAGATCCAAGGCCAGCTGCTCAGCACATTACGAGAAAAGGAGCCTGGGTACCTCTGCCTTTTGTACACTGATATTCTTCAGCTTCCTATGACCATGAGCAATTTCAAAAGACAGTGACTGTTCTTCTGGATTGGGCTCTGATTTCCTTACTATAACTGAATTCAAAACCTAAAACCTGCCAAATTGATAATTTAATTCTTAAGGAAAACCATCCTTACAGAACATTTGAAGATCTTTGGAGTTTGTTAGGACCTGATTGCCCTCCATCATCCTCCAAGTATTATCCTGAAAGAAATCTTGGATTTTCTTTCCATTTGCACATTTTGTTTGTTTTATTGAATGGTTAAAATTCACTCTAGCTATTTTCAGAGATACCCAGTTACCTGATTTGTAAGCAACATTTTATGCTTTCAGTATTCCCTGCACCTCTACTGTAATCCAAGGTTTTTGTGGTTTGCCCTGGTGGTGATGACAGTGACATCCTCCATGGACTTCTTGATATATCCTGACACAGACATGGCATACTCTTTCGCAATGACATTTTGGTCGTTAGTAGCTGCTGACCTGAAGATGTAACAGTATGTACTCAAAACAGTTCTGTAGTGCATCTGCAGCTCCTTTAGACCACACTCTAAGCTGCATCACAGCAGGCTTTTCTCTGGTCAGCATACATTTATATGCTGGAATAGGCATTAATATAGATGGTCTGAGAAGCTGAGGTGGGGCCAAGGTTCTGCACTTGAAACCCTGTTTTATGTTACTGTAGGCTTGGGTCAATGAGTTCTTTCCCTGAGTAGCAAAGTCTACAAATTCATGAAAATGAGGGAGTACAGTTTTCATGCTGACCTGAGTAAAGTATCCAGCAACAATAACACCACCTTCACTGATGGAGGAGTAATCTGTACATCCTACTTAGTGTTGATGATGGGTGGGATGTAGGTAGTAAAAACTCAATGGCAGAGAGTGACTCCACCGATGCTGGTTCTTCCTGGTGCAGCAGCTCAAGACAATGCAGACGTTCCTGTAATGTCACTTCCACAAAATCCATAACACTTTATTGTTAAATTTCTAGACAAGTCCTAATATCATTAACTTGTTTTAGCTTGTACCTGACTGTAGGCTACAGCTGGGGCATTGCAAAAATTAACACTATTGAGAACCATTATGGCCACAGGCAGGGCATCACCAAGACAGGGTGCCACACATTTACTATCTGATATGTTGCATCAAGTCTGAGTAAAAAAACCCAAAAAAAAAACAGAAAAAGGTTGTTAGAGAATTTTCTATATAAATATTTTTAATTGTATTTTTGTATTATGCCTGAAATGACTGAGAACATCTTTACCTACTGAATTGAACCCGAAACACTCTCTTGTCTCGACCTGGAGGCTGTCTTGCTGAATCACAGTGCCTCCTTGGCATTGTCGCATAAGAACATGCCCCAAACACTTTCTTATCTCCATCTGAAGGCTGACTCAATGATGGCCATGGATCATGTGCTGGACTGCGGCTGGCTATTAGAGAATGCCAGCTGGATTCTGCTGCTGTCTAAAAGTCTGCAGATGACTCTATTGGATGCTCTTTCTGTGACATGTTCCATGCATATGCATTATCCATCCATCCATCCATCCATCCATCCATCCATCCATCCATCCATCCATCCATCCATCCATCCATCCATCCATCCATCCATCCATCCATCCATCCATCCATCCATCCATCCATCCATCCATCCATCCATCCATCCATCCATCCATCCATCCATCCATCCATCCATCCATCCATCCATCCATTATCTTTACCCGCTTATTCCATTTTGGGTCACGGGGGTCGCTGGTGCCCATGTCCAGCAATCACTGTGCGAGGGGCGGGGTGCACCCTGGACGGGTCTCAAGTCCATCACAGGGCCACATAGAGACAAATGACACAAACAACCATTCACTCTCTCACTCACACCTAGGGACAATTTAGAGTTACCAATCAGCCTAATATGCATGTTTTTGGTCTGTGGGAGGAAACCGGAGTACCCGGAGAAAACCCACACATGCACGGAGAGAACATGCAAATTCCACCCAGAAAGGCCCCAGGACTGGGGTTTGAACCAAGGACCTGCTCGCTGAGAGGCAGCAGCTCTACCAGTTGCGCCACCGTGCTGCCGCATATGCATTATGTAAATAGTAAATGGACTGTACTTATATAGCGCCTTTCTGTCTTATCAAGGCACTAAAAGCGCTTTACACTACAATCTGTGCCCTCATTTATCCATTCATACAGAACTACTAGATCTCTACAAAGGTAATTGAACAAATCATACTAAAGAGACTAATCAGTGCTTTATCATATTCATACACCGATGGGACACACATCAGAGGCAATGAGTAGTTCAGTGTCTTGCCCAGGGACACTTCGACATGTGACGGCTGGTGGAGTCGAACCCCCAACTCTTGCACTGGATGACGATTGCTATAACCACTCAGCCACAGCCACCTATGTATCTAGGTATTATGTATCAATGTATGTAATCTGTCTTGAATGGGTCATTGCAAGTAAAACGGCAGTTAAAGTGTGGTCCTTTTTGGGTAAGCAAAGTTAGTGAGAGAGATTTTCTCTTAACACGGGTCTTTGGCTAAACATATCAGTGTCTTCATTACTGAGTGCAACCTAATATCTGCTAAAATCCCAGTGCTGGTAAAAGCCCCGATTGACTGGTTTGATTAAGTTTCTGTTATAGACTTATAATAAGAATCAGAATAAGTTTTATTATCATTGCACCCAGATACAATGAGAACATGTACATACAGTCGTCCGAAAGATGGGGGGAGTGCACAAAGCTGCTACTATAAAAGCGGGCCTTTCTTATTCTTGTTCAGAATAATATTTTTGTTTAGATGAGAAAAGGGAAGAAAAACATGAGGCGAGACGGTATTAAAAAAAAAGATCTCTCACACCTTGTCCTAGACAAGGCACAATTTGATACATCAAAAAACCTACCACAGCAAAACACATGTTATACGTGTACATATAGCCCGGTGAAGACATTGAATGTTAAGGGATGGTCGTAGCATAGTCCAGAGACCCCCCCCAGCCATTGTCTAGATGAGAGGTGTTATTTATCATCAGCTTGGTTGAGTTTCCGTCACATGTCCGAAGGGAGTGGTGAGGAGACAGACAAAGCATGCCATGCCAGGAGGAGTTGAGATAAGTCTGCCGTCAAGGCCACAGTTTGGGTCAGGCAGAACTCGTAAATTGCTGTTTCTGCCTTTTAAGTCTCGCTGGTACAGTTTTCTGATGGAAACTCCAAACAGCCGAATTGAGTCCTTACGCCGAAAGTTATAGTGGTAACATTTCTTGAAAACTAAACATGAAAAATTTTACTTGAATGTTGTGAGACTGCTTTTTGCTTCCAGACCAAAAACTATTTCAGATACATTGATGGCTGGTCCCTGAAATTTGCTCATTGGGATAAAAATGAACCAAGCCAAAACAAAACGTGTGTCTATGTGGACGTGGATGGAAAATGGAAAACCGATTTCTGCAGTCAGACCATCAGCAGTGTTTGTATGAAGTCTACAGGTAAAATCAGATTGATGTACCTAATAAACAAACTAGCAAACTGTTAGATTTATAAACACTGTAATCATTTAATTTATTGCAAAATTCAAATCACTGCTAAACTTTTTTTCTACTTTGTAAGTTTTATTACAAATACATATTAAAATTTTAAAGCAAGTACCAGTAAACATCCATCCATCCATCCATTATCTTTTACCCACTTCTTCCATTGCCGGTAAACATTTTACGCAAATGTCACCGTTGTTCTTTACAGAGGTACCACCAGAAGTAGAGCCAACTAATTTCCCAGGAGTTTGTCCTGAAGACCCAGAAGAAATTGATTCAGGACGTCACTATTACTGGAAACCTTTTAGGCGTCACTGTTATATATTTGTCCTTGAGTCAAATAGCTGGTCACATGCAGCAGTCAGCTGTGCAACACATGGTAGGTGTTTTATGTAAAAAAAAAAAAAAGTTTTAGATCCTTAAAATGCATGTTGCTTTTACTAAAAAAAATATGAATTCAATTTATGAAGGTGGAATGCTTGCCAGCATTGAAGATCCCAATGAACAAGAATTTATATACAGTAACATCAAAACATATGAAGACAGATACAAATCGTTTTGGACTGGTCTTTTTAAAAATCATAAAGGTAAAACCCTTTTTTATGGTCTTACAAAACAATGCCCTCAGTTCTACAGGTTAGTTGTTACAAAACAAACTACTAAGTTGTTTGAATTACTAAGGCAATGGAGGTCTATATATATATATATATATATATGTGTGTGTGTATATATATGTATATGTGTATGTATATGTATATATATATATGCATATATGTATATATGTATGTATATGTATATATATATACATATATGTATATATATGTATATATATATATATATATATATATATATATATATATAAATGCTACTTAATTTTTTTAAATAGTTTTTTATATTGATTTTCTTCACAAAAGGTTTTGTTTGACTAAAGCAAGCATTTGTTTGTCTTGTGTCTAGATGCGTGGGTGTGGTTGGATAAAACAGTCATGGATTACACTATGTGGCAAACAAATGAAATTGAGGTTTTCTACTATGGAAAGATTCATTCATCAGATGGAAGATGGAGTGGGAGCAGTCCATGGTATTATCATCCGTATATCTGCAAAAGAGCAAAAGGTAAAAACAACATTTTCAAACTTGTTTTGAATTACACTAATTTAGTTTTCTTTTGTTTTGTGCAATGATCTTGCAATCAGACAGACTTCCTGTCAGATAACAAAACTGCATGAGATTTACTGAAAGCACTAGCCAGAGTTCAAGTGGAGTGTGTGACAGCTGAAAATGCCAGTTAAGTGGTATTTCCAGTTACTACATACTAAGAACTCAGTCATGGTTAAAAAAAAAAACAAAAAAAACAATTACACTTTATTTTAATGTTACTATTTAACTGATGACGAAAAAAATGAATGGAAATAAGTCTAGGCCAGGTTCTTTATTGATGTAAAAAAAAAGAAAAACTTTGGGCGATCAAAATTTGGACCTCTCATGTTGTTCAGCATGCTTGAATATGTTATAAAATGATGATACAAATCCAACTAGAGAAATAGGTTTCTTTTAAAGTTTGCAGTGTGAATGCTGAGTGCTGACTGACTGCTAAAATTTGCGTAAGATGATGAAGTCAGAGTCAGTCAGATTTAGAGTTTCTTTATTGTCATTCGCACCTCATGTGGTACATGTGGTGGAGCGAAATTATGTACACAGGGTCCCAGTTACATCCAACAATAAAATGTATAAGAAAAACTGTAATAACATCTAAGATATGAACTAAGAAAAACATCAACCAAATATACACTAAGCACCCATAACACAAAAACATTGAACATCAGCATAAACATGAAAATGAGTCTGTGTGAGCGGATGTGCACACATGAACTCATCAACATTGAAACAGATCAGCAGCAACATGAAATAGATCAGGAGCAACATGATGTGATTTTTCACAGTGATGATTCTGGTTAGAGATTCATGAGTCTAACAGCCTCAGTGTAGCAGCTGTTCCTCAGTCTAGTGGTTCTACACTTAATGCTCCTCAACCTCCTTCCTGAGGGGAGTGGAGTAAAAAGTGTGTGTGCTGGGTGAGTGAGGTCCTTCATGATGCAGGTAGCCCTCTTCCTGCATCTAGAGATGTAGATGTCTGTGATGGTGGGGAGGCTGACTCCAACAGTCTTCTGTGCAGCCTTCACCACTCTCTGCAAAGCTTTTCTTTCTGCAGCTGTGCAGCCTCCATGCCACACGTTGATGCTGGAGCACAGGATGCTCTCCACTGCACACCTGTAGAAGGAGATGAGGACTGAGCTTCCCAGACCAGCTCGCCTCAGCCGTCTGAGGAAATAGAGTCTCTGATGAGCTTTCTTGATCAGGCTGGTGGTGTTGTTGCTCCAGCTGAGGTTGTCATTCATGTGTACACACAAGTACTTGTAGCTGGAGACCATTTCCACCATGAAACAATCTAAAACGTGTTTTGCTTTCTAAAAAATGTTAGCTAAAAGCCGCAAAAGACTTGTTGAAAGATAAAACAGCAAAAGACTGGCAAAAAAATTAGCAAATGGCTAGCTTGTCCTACAAATAGCAAAATGGTGGATAGAAGTTAAAAGAAGCAAAATGCTAGCTCAAAGTTAAAATGAGCAAATTAGCAGTTTTCAAGTACCAAAAGCTAACTAAAAATAGCAAAAGACTTGCCAAAAGCTAAAAGTAGCAGAACGGTATATAATGTAACAAGAGAAAACAAACATGCGTAGGCAGATAAAAACAATGTTTTTGAAGGAGTTAACGAAATAATGTCATTATAATGGATGAAAAATGTAAATAAAGTTAAGTATTTTGAAAGATATAAAAGTTATAAAAAAAAAGTTGTAGCACACATGTCCTGACTGATTGCATGAATAACTAGAAAGTTCCTTGAGAAACTTTGACGGGGACTGCTTATTTATTATTAAATTATTATTAATAATAAATATTAATGTTAATGATTATTTATACTAATAATAAATACTAAGTATTAATATATTGTTAATTTGTTAATAATAAAAATATTAATAATCTCACTCACTTCACCACTCGCTCCCCACGAGATCGGATGCTTCTCTCCCTCCCTCTCCGCTTTGCTTTGCTGCTCTGTCTGTCTGTGAAATTGCTGTGAGACTCTCTTGCATTTCTTCCGAACCATAATTATGGACTTGTTTTTTGACCAGTTGGTCCCTCATCTCAATTTACAACATTTCTTCGAAGAGAAGACAGGCTTCGGGCGAGCCGATTAACCCTGTTGGCACGTATGCAGCTGGATATCTCATCGACTGGAAAACTTGATGATGTGTCTATCTCTGCTGCCATATGTGGACTTTAAAGACACATATTTAATTGGATTTTTGATAATTGGTTCCTGCTTTTTGGATTCAGCTGGTGCTGGTTTTATCTACAATCAAGGAAGTCGTCAGCAGCAAATTTGGACCCGATCACGCTGCTTGCCTTCATTGGGTTCATGTCTGGAGTACCCGGACTCAAATGCTTTGGGCTGAATGGATCAGATCTTGGGGATTTTTACTCTGACACGTTTCCATCGGTGTTGGTCATGTTAATTTGGACATTTCGGAACCGAGTGGACCAAACACAGACTCAAGGTTGATGTCATTAAGTTCTGCCTGTCCCCAAAACAACTGTGTGTTTATTTAAATTTTGTTCGCCTTGGTTGTCCTTGAAGGCCATCTTATCTAAAGTCACCTGGAGAAAATGTGATCTGATGCTCACCACCCCCTCCCTGAGGAATTTCCAACTGATAACAAGATGAAACCACGCTGAAAAAAACTTTATGTCATCATTTCAGGACTCTGGATTCTTATAAAGGTTATCCTTGGCCATTTCTCGACATACCTCAAGAATGTTTATGGATCTCACCGGAGGACATTGACTGATTACAGTGACCTCGAGAGCATCTGTAGGCGTTGTTGACCGGTCTCGTCCCTTCCTTCTTCCTGCTCTGCTCTGCAGAATGTCTATGTAAATATGTGCTTGTTTGTGCGAGGAGTTTTTTCAATATTAGGGGTTTTTCTCAGCCGAGAAAAAAGTCTGATAGGAATTTTTTCGCCTCCAATTCCTACATGTGTCCTGTTAACCACTGTTTTTTGTCTGTCCAAACAGGTCTCATTTGTAAATGAGTCTTCGAGGCTCAATGTGATTTATCTGTTTAAATAAAGGTTGAATGAATGAAAAAATATTCACACCAATAATTAGTATTGATATTGAATATTACTTATTAATATTAATAATTATTGATATTAAAACAGATAATTATTAACTTTAATAATTAATATTATTATTATTACTAATTAATAATAATAATAGGTGATTGATAATAGGTAATAATAGGTGCCTTCCATGCATTGCATAATGCACTGCCTTCCTTGCATGTTGAACCAAAATGGCTCCATATGTTACTCAGTTTCTGTAAAAAGTTTTCACCTATTCATTTCCTATGGGAAATTTGGCATCTTTGTTAGCAAATTATGTCACCATGGTAACTGCGAATGCCAATAAAAGTAATTGCCCACTTCCTGGAGCCGGGCCGGTCGTTTTGATATAACTTTTGTGGGGGTCCACGTTGCGGTTCGGGTCGCATTAAAGTTGAAAAATATACTCTTTTCAGGAGTAGAATAATAAGCGGGCAGTCACCAACTAGTTCCTGGAGTTGGTGAAATATTGCGTCTTTGTTCGCAAATTACGTCGCCATGGTAACTTGAAATGCCAATAAAAGTAATAGCACACATCACGGGGCCGAGCCAGTCGTTTTGATATAGCTTTTGTGGGGGTAGACGCTGTGGTTCGGGCCGCATTAACGGATTCTCGAAAGAGATAGAAATGTAGACATTCTTCCGAGGTGTAGAATAATATGTGCCTGCCATGCATTTGCATGACAGTCCCCAACTGACTAAAAAAGCCCAAAGTAGTTAAACTGAAATAAATGTCAGAATTTTGTCCTACAACTATATATTAAATTAAAAAAATTGTTTCAACCCATACTTTCCTTTTTCTCAGTGTTACTACCAAATACATCACCGCCATCCTGTAAGTAACATTTTTATACTTCCTTAAAAATGTTGACTTTTTATTAATTTATTTATTATGTGTTTGCTGATGAACATCTGCTCTTTCAGTCTCCCCAGATGTTCAGGAAACATCTGGCCGTAAACACATTACTTTGGCAGTTGTGATAATCATTGTTGGGTTTGCAGTGGGAACAATCATCTCCCTCTCCCTGTTCAAAAAGTCTGGCCATTGTGTATCCTTCCCTGCAACATTAACTAACTTTGACAACCCACTGTTCTTCAGCAACAACCTCTCACAGCCTGATTTAGTGGATACCAAAATACTGGTAGAAAATCCATATGAAGAAAATACTGAAACTGTAACTATATAAGATAAAGAACAACAAAACATTCTGTTTTATGTTGCTTTCAGTGGGTTTCACTGTCTAAAAATAAGGTTTTGCTGTAAACTATGTCTGATATTTGTTCAGTCTCTTCTGTATTTTTGATATGTATGCCCACGTATTTTGTGGTGTTATATTGAAAAATGCTATCTAATTCATGCACAAAACATACTTATTGAATAATAAAAAATGTCTATAAAATATCTTGACTGTGTGAGAAGAGTAAATGTTCTCCAGAACTGAACAGATAAAAAACAAAGCCCAACACAACACAGTACTCAATGACAAATACTTAATAAGCAGAACAACCAGAAGTGGAACATCTGGGCATTTGATTTAAGACTTTTTTGCAGTTTTGACAAGTCTTGTTAACATCAACACAATAGGTGAAAGAAGATATTAAAAAATGACATAGTGGAAGAAAATATAGATACTTTAAGAAGTGTTATAGATGTACATGTATTAAATGCAAGAGCTAAATATTAGAATTAAAAACCTGACTTTCATAGAAGACATCATTTGATCAACCCATAAAAACTGCATAATTACATTAAAGAATATATTTTACTTGTAATAGCAAGCACAGGAGAGATAAAACAAACACTTTTTACTGTAATCACTGTTTCATTGTGTTGTTCTGGTAAGATGGTACTATACATAAAGTAAATCCTTGTGATTGTAATGTCAATCAGATTTTGAATTAGATTAGAGATACGTGGGATGCAGCAACATCCACAGAGCACCAGTAAGGCAGCTGCAACTGCAACAGAGACTAGAAGAGATGAGATTAGTCCACTCGATCAACTAAATCATTTTTCATACATTGCAGTAAAGGGATTTCCTATGCCCGAGTCCTAGTTCTTCAAAGATGGAGGTCAGTGAAGTCATCTGGGACTCCTTTTAAAACTCAACTAGCAACTACAAACACGTTGTTATCCAATGATCCCAATGCTGTGGATCTTTTCTATAAGTCATCTGATAAACCTTGAAAATGTTGTTGTGAATTTGTATACTCTGGCAAGAAAACTGTTGGGAATGACATCAGGAGCTGAACCAAAAACCCATCCAGGCAGGTGAGAGCTTAACTCAGAGTCTCTTGTCTCCACAGAGTCACCATACATCTGCTCATATGATGGTTTGACTCAAAAACCACGTTTATCTGTGATGAGAGTTGTCATCTGTAATGTTAATCACATTTTAACACCATCCTGCAGATCACCTGGACTTCTGCCCACGTGATTTCACAGAGAACAGGTGAACCTTTCAGGATATGTGAGCGCATTGGGTGGGAGTTGGGGTTTGACAGGGAGGAACAGAAAAGGATGCAATTTGGTACAATTTGGGTCTGTGGAAATGCAAGAACAGGACCGGCATGGACTTAGATCAGTTTATGCTTTTTTAACCAGCGCAGAAGAAGCAGCATGAGTTGATTATTTATTTTATTTGTTTTTGCTGATTTTGTTTTGTTTGTTGCTTTGTTACAGTGGATTAATAAACCAACCTCTGTTTTCTTGTTTGAACAATGGATTTTTTTTTGTCCAATACACAAAATATGGTTTTGACACCTTTGTGGCTCCTTTTCTATCAGGTTAAACAATCTAACATCAGTACAGCAAAGGATAAAAGAATAATTGTTGATAAAACTGTCTTTCCTTCAACCATTATGCATCCCCCCCCATTTACATCCTTCACTTCTTCTTTTTGTCTAACTATATTTCATCAGAATGGATTGCATGATTTACTGTCAGATGCCTTGCAACTGGGCTGAAAATATTTTATCCTTAGGTCACATTATGGGTGGTAGAATGGACCCAAATGCAGGTGAGCAGGAGGCAGGTTCTGGATTTACTAATTGGCTTTTATTTATGTGAATGTTCCTGTAAAGTGCCTTGAGACAACTTTGCTGTGATTTGGCGCTATATAAATAAACTGAATTGAAATCAAGTCTTTAACTTTAATGCCTGAACAGACAAGGGTCCAAGCCAGCAAAACCAAGATATGAAGAATTAGCTGCAAGGGTCTGCTGTAAACGTTGAAAAATAAAGAAGTGTGAATTCTGGGAAATAATGAATGTCTGACAACACGGAAACGCAATAAATCCAAAACATGCATGCATCTTTATTCAGGCGAAATATTAAAAAAGGCACCTTAAAATCTTATATACAATGTCTGAACTCAAATCAAAGACAAAAAAAATAATAATCTAGTAAAATAGTCCACAGCAAGGATTCCTAAACAAGAGCCCTAAATCTAAAAATGTAAAACAAATATAAGTAGGATAAATACAGGTATTATAACCCTCCCATCACACCCAGGCCAAAACGACCCAAGGGCAACAGAAGGGCCACAGGAGTCTTGTCCAAGTCCAGCAGTTTAAGCCTATAGCATCATAACTAAGGGATAGCTCATGAAACCCAAGCCAACCCTAACTATAGGATTTATCAAAAAATAAAATACATTCCTTCATAAGATTATGCATGAAGGACACCATAGACACCTTTTTTTTATCCTAGTTACACAAATAAAAAGGTACACTTGAAGCACTCACAAAGGCACACTGATTCACTCACAAAGATTGAAGAACAACCTTCATATCAATGTGAAGAAGACGAAGGAGATGGGCATGGACTTCAGACGGAATAACACCCCCCTAAATATAGGAAGATCTGCGGTGGATGTGGTCTCCAGCTACAAGTACTTGGGTGTGCACCTAAACAACAACATCAGCTGGGGCAACAACACTACGAGCCTGATCAAGAAAGCTCATCAGAGACTCTACTTGCTCAGACGACTGAGACAAGCTGGTCTAGGAAGCTCAGTTCTCACCTCCTTCTACAGGTGTGCAGTGGAGAGCATCCTGTGCTCCAGCATCAACGTGTGGCATGGAGGCTGCACAGCTGCAGAAAGAAGAGCTTTGCAGAGAGTGGTGAAGGCTGCACAAAAGTCTGTTGGAGTCAGCCTCCTCACCATCACAGACATCTACACTTCTAGATGCAGGAAGAGGGCCATCTGCATCATGAAGGACCCCACTCACCCAACACACACACTAAAAAATCACTAATGCCACTTGATGGTTGATATGTGCTGCTGACTATCCTAGCTGCTGATTTATTTCATGCTGCTGTATTTATTCGTGCTCATTAGCTCACACAGACTCATGTTTGTGCTGCTGTTGTTCGGCATGTTGTTTTTGCACTATTACGTGTTTAGCGTTAAGTGTTTAGTCTTTCAGCTCTCTACTCCTCACAGAGGGCTTTGATATCTCGGTGGTAACTGGTTGGGTCAGGAAGGGCATTCAGTGTAAGAGTAATTGCCAAGTCTTCATGCAACTTAGTTTGCTGTGGCGGCCCCTGAAGAAGGGAGCAGCTCAAAAAAAAAGAAGAAAAAAAAGCGTTTAGCGTATTTTTAGTTTAGCATATTACTTAGTTCATACCTTAGATTTATTACTGTATTTCTTTTACAATTTATACTTTTGTTGGAAGTAACCGGGACCCAGTGTACACAGTTTCATTCCACCACATGTACCACAAGCGATGCGAATGACAATAAAGAACCTTGAACTTGACCTTGATTCACTTTCTTTCTCTATTGACATTTCTTCCAGCCCATCTTGTTACATTCAATATGGGTCTTCTCTCATTTGCTGAAACTGATGGTTCCCAGGATTTATGGAGCTACTTCCATGCCTGTCACAGCTGTAGAAGGAAGTAACAGGCTTTGTGAATACAACATCAGTAGGGATACAATGGATCCAGTGGGTTTCAGTGCCTGGTACCGTCAGCTTTCGTGGCCAGCAGGTGTCGGTTGACCTGGTATAGACTTCAAATGCAGCACATAAGCAGTCTCAGCCAGCAGGTTAGTGATTGGTTTATGGCTGATAAATATGATCAGTTGAAAGTGCACCTTTTTTCATCTCTCAGTCTGATGTATGTGTCACATAATTGTAGTCTCTTATAAAAGAAGTTTTCTTCAAGTTTCCAATTCTCGGCAGCTTACCGATTTTTTTACAGCAACAGGACATCTCTCCTGTAGTGCACAAAAGACAAGAGGACATTCTTTTCTCAAACAAGCTCTTAAATTGAATTAAAAAGTTTCAATATTTACTATGAAAATAGAAAAAAGAAGAAGAAAGAAACCACGTTCACGTGATATTTTCTCTTTCGCCTTCGACAAAGACGGTCACTCTTTCTCTCCCTCCCTCCTGCGTTTTTGCTGTCTTGTCCTGTTAAACTCAGAGCCTCTCTTTATACATCTTCTGTTTAGAAAATTATGGATTTGGTCAGCTGGTCCCTCAACACAATTGCTATTTTTTTTTCCACCAGCCGACATGGTGCTGGAGAGCCCTCATGCCCTGAACGGGTCCACGCAGCTGAGTATGTCGTTGATTCTTGGAGTGAGTGAAAAATGGTGTGCCTATCTGTTCCGTCCATGGAGGACATAGAAGATGTTTGCATTATTTGATTTATGATAACAGTATTTCTGCTTTTTTGGAATCGGCGGATACCTTGGAAATTGACAAAGTTGGAAGACATCGGCAGCAGTTTTGGCCATGGTAAAGCTGCCAGCCTTATGTGAAGGATTAATCCGTTCCTTGAGCTCTCAAACTCGTATGCTTAACGAGCTCATCCACAATCTGGATGCAATTCTGAGAATTGTAGGCCACTTGCAGCACCCGGAACTCACCAGTATGAAGGATTCAATTTTGGAGAATGCTAAATCAAGCACGGACCGGAATGTCCACTAATTCTGGCTATTTGGATTCGCCATTGAGTATTTCAGCTGAACTTGAAGGCAGACTGAAAACAAAGTCTGGAGGCACAAACAATTGTTATTTATGTGAATTTGGCCTTCCTGCTGGCCTTGGACAGGCCAACTTATCTCAAATTGCTCCTGGATAATTTGTAAACTAGAAGCTCTGCCTGCACCTCCCTCCTCGTGGGCTGGTGGGCGTCACTCAGATTCAATGATGAGTCCGGAGGTCCGGTTCTGATCCAGTTCCTGGTCGTTCCGTGCGGTTCTCTGCATCCACTGGGCACCAAAGTCACTATGGGATAAGGACCAAACTTTTTCAGATTGGGTCCAAACTTTCCCTCTATTTCAGCAGAAGGCAAAAGGGCACTGTTGGCTTCTGGGAAATGTAGTTTTTTTGAGTGGTGATACAGTATTGGCTTATTGAGAGAAAAGTACAAAATGGTGGCGTCTGTCCTAAGTATTTTTATTGTTAACTTTTTGCTGTACAGTATCCTGTACTGTCCCAATCACGTGAGTAAAATAAAGTTGACAATCATGTGCTGGGTATAATTTTTTTCTTGTAAAATCTTACATTGAAAAACCGCAAAAGAGCGAGTCTGCATAAGTCGAACCGCAAAGTAACGAGGACTACTTCATTTCCTATTTAGATAGACTTTGCATTTTCCTAAATACACATTATGTCTTTTTTTGTTGTTGTTTTTTTATGTATTTTGAGTAGCACCATGAAGAGATTTTTTTAGCTATCGTGCAGCAGTTTTTTAAATTTATTTTAATAAATACAAATATTCTCAAATTGAACAAAACTGCACAACAACTGCTATGTATTTTAACATTTTAATTCTTGTACACGCTCTTGTAAGTTAGATGGCTTTTCCAAACTCCTCTTTAACTGCCAGATGAAGTCCGTTCGTCAGTTACAAGTTAAAACAGAGACGATTTCTCAGACCTAGAGTATGCAAGAGGCATTAAAGGCAGAATTGAAACTTGATTGTTGAACCAACTGGCATACAAATAAAAGGAACTGGGCTGTACTACTCCGTTCCCAAGAAGTAAAATCTTGAAAAGATGTCATGAAGATAATGCTGACTTTTTAGGATGGTTGATTAAAAAAAAGAAGAAGTGGTGAGAAATAGCATAATGTTTCAGTGTATTTAAAGCACCCGTCTCTTCACAATCACCAAGACAAAGCTGAGATTTTCTGCAGGCTACAAATGGATTAGGTGTTTGGCTGTTAACCTTTCAGACGCATCATAACAATGAAGACTGTATGTTTGGTCCTTGTTTTTGTCCTACTAGCATTACAATGCTTGGCATCAGATGGTACAGTATTCCAGCTATTTTTACTAAACTTATTTCTAGAAATTTAAAGGTTAGGTCTCGTACAAGGCAAAAATAACCTGGTAGAATACTTTTTGTCTGTTAAACTTTAAATAGCGATTTTTAACTATTGTTTTTGAGTGGAGTGTTTGTACGTTAGAAATTATGAGAAATGTTGGTTTATTTTAAGAACAGAACAAATGATGGCTTCAATTTATTTATTTATTTACATTTTCTCTCTGCAGATTCACCATTTCAACTAATCAACAAAGCTACTGGATTTTGTTTGGTCAAAACTGGTGTCACCTGTGATGACATACGATGGACAACTGGTGGACGGCTGCTGGTTGAGGGGAAGAATAGATGCCTCGGAGTCCAGGGGAAAAGTGTGGGGAGTGAAGTACACCTCTACGATTGTGATGAAAACAGTGAGCTCCAAAAATGGGAATGCAAGAATGAAACGGTGCTCGCTCTCCAAGGCCAGGAGCTTTATGTTGAGCCCAAGGCAGACGGCCCAGCTGTACTCTCAAAAACGATTGGACCCAACAGCCACCTCACAATTTCAGGAACGTCGAGTGGAGCCTGTTCAAGAACTTACAGAGGTATAAAACACTCATTAAATTCAAACTTTGAGACTGTAGTGATCAAGATGACATAAATATTAATAGAGTTTGGGTTTATTAGTTTCAAAAGGGGATCCAGGTGTGGTAAAAAAATCACTGCTGGTCTTGTTTGTTCTTTTATTTCAGAAATTTACACTATTGAAGGAACTGCAGCTGGAAGGATGTGCATGTTTCCTTTTATGTACGACAACCAGTGGTACTCAAGCTGCACACTGATTGACTCCGAGGAGCGTCTTTGGTGTTCTGTCGAAACAAAGTATGAACACGAGAACTGGGGCTACTGCCCAACAAACAGTGAGTACTTCAAAACATTGGTTACGTACTGTAACCCCAGATTCTATGAGTATAGGCATAGCCCTTTAAGGCTGTCGCTGGTGGGTTTATCCCATCATGCAAAGCATCGCACTGAAAAAATTAGTCCACGCACACGTTGTGTGGGCCCCACCCGGTCCCTATAAATTACGTTAAGAGCGGGTAATCGGCTCTCAAATAGTTTTTTCTTCAGCCATTTAGGAGCCAGTGACGCATGACGCTTAAAGGGCTACGCCTATACGCATAGAATCTGGGGTTACAGTACGTAACCAACATTCTATTTCGTATAGGCTTTGCCCTTTAAGGCTGTCGCTGGTGGGTTAAGGGTGAAGCAGATGTAGTCTCCGCCTCACTGGGTCCATTCAAACACCATAAGAAGCACCCGCTTGCCCAAAAACACATCTTGTCACTCAGCTCTCCATGTGCGTAATTAATCATCGCCTAATTATGCGCACCATGCACAGACGTGCAGTGCATAATTTACGTTTTCCGAGTGCATGAATGCCCCGGAAAGGTTTTCAACAGAAAAGAGGAGAGGCTGAAAAAGGCCGTGAACCTAACAGATCCACGGCTCTTCAATTTGAACATATTAATGATAAATGAACTGATTATTAATCAAATTAACTGATTGATGACAGTAGAACAAGAACAACAGTCACAACCTGTGACTGATAACAACATCTCACACTGTAAATGCATGCAGTCAGATGTGAGTTTAAACGAGATTCCATGAAACAATATTCATTCTGTTAAGGCACTAAGGACAGAAAGAGTCATGGAATGCGCCGACACATCACGTAAATAAAAGCGAATAAATGAACAGGGTGTTGAGCACACGGCCGCAGTGCAAATATCCTGCATTGACATACCATTATGCAAAGCAGTCGAAGATGCGATACCTCTAGTCGAGTGCGCCCTGAGGTTGTCAGGAGGCTCTAAATCTGACACTATGTAGGCTTCAGAAATGGCTTCACACAGCCAGTGTGACAGGCACTGGGTGGATAACGGGCGACCTGCAGATGCGTCTCTATAGTGCACAAACAAATGTTGAGTCTGAGGCAGTGCCGCCGTGCGTGACACGTAACACGTCAACGCACATACAGGGCAGAGAAGATGGAAAGATGCTTCTTCTCTGCCCAACACAACAACCGTCTCGCAATGTGTAACATTTGGGCTGAGCGCCGACTCCACACATTTTGAAAACGTGCGTGGCGCGAGGGAATACCCCAACGTGAGTCTGTTGTACTGATAGTGGGTCCCTTGAAAGGAGAAGCGAAATAACTTTCTGTGCTTTGGAATGATCGGGATGTGGAAGTAGGCGTCTTTCAGATCGATGGAGGTAAACCAGTCGTTTTGCTGAATATTGTCTAACAATTGTCTGGTTGTCAACATGTGAAATTGTCTCTCCATGACTGATTTGTTGAAAATTGACAAATCCAAGATGGGTCTCATCCCTCCGGTCCGTCTTGGGACCAGGAAGTAACGAGAGTAGAACCCTGTGTTTTCCTCTCCTTCTGGAACCCTGGAAATTACATTTTTCACCAGAAGTTCCTGAACCTCTGCATGGAGGAACGAGATCTGTTCTGGGCATGACAGAACCGTCTCTAAAATTCCTCCAAACGAGGGGGGTTGAGCTGCGAACTGCAGTGTGTATCCCCTGCTGATAAGGCGGTTCATCCATCTGTCTAGAGCACGCGCTCACTGCCACTCGGCGTAACGTTCGGGGAGCAGATGCGCGTCTCTGTGCTGTGTCATGTTTTTTTACGGACGTCAACCGATTTACAGCCTCTACCGCCGTCATGCGCTGTGAAGGCGTAGTTCGAGCGACCCAAGGTGAGGCTTTCTTGAAAGGGCTCTGAAGGCACTTCAGTGCCGCACTCAGGCTGCGGGCTCACATCCGTGCTGATGTGAGCTGGCGTGCGCTGAGGGGAGGTGCGCACGCGCCCTTGGCCATGTGGTGCTGCTTCGGCGAAGGCTGCCTCTGCCGCGGGGGCACGCGTTTGCCGCCGCTGCAGTCAGAGGAGGCAGCGCACAGCTTAGGTTGAGAGCGAGGTTTCCCACTGGACTCAGTCTGCTGAAAACATTCACTTTTGGCTGTGTCACACGCGCCTTTTATGTGTTGTTTTGAGCTGCGGTGATTTTTAAAAACCTGTTTGAAGGACACCGGCTCGTTTTGTATGGAGGATGTGTGAGGAGAAGCCGCTGTGAGATCATCTGAACTGACAGACAGGCTGAAATCAGACACTTTAATTCCTGAATGATGTTTACGTTTTATTTCAAAACTCTAACCATCATTTTGCGCACACACACCCTCGGCAAGGAGTCAATTTTTTAATCTTCTCCCCTGTGAGCCTTGCGGTTGGTTCTTCCAGGGGGGCACCTGTTGGCGGTCTCTGGGGAAACGCTGTACTGCTGGATGCAGGGATGAGGAGGGCTGTTCTCTGACAGGAGGGGCCGGCGGCGGAGCGGAGCAAAAAGATGCTGCTGCAGCTGTGGCTCTTCTTTGCTGCTGTCTTTGGTCATGTTGCTCTCTCCAGCGGGCGGGGGGCGAGAAGAAGAGTGCGGCTTGACCAGATGGCGCACAGCCTCTGACACCTCCTCCGACTTCTTCGAGTTGTCAAGCATGGCCTTGAAGTTGGCTCAGAACAGCGTGTCTGTCATGATGGGGCCCTCCAAAAAGTCCTTCTGCAGCTTCTCCGGCAGGGAGGGGAAGTGACGGAGCCAGGTGGATTGCTGAACCATTGTCATCCAGGCTGCGATGCGAACCAGGCAAATAGCAGAAGAGGCGCACAGGTTCATGATGACGTCAGACGTCTTGCAAAGTGAACTCTTCATCTCCTCAGGCAGGTCTGTTTGTTCGAACCTCTTTGAAATGCTGTACGCTAGCAGCGCAACATTATTGTTTGCTGCGGCTGCCTGGAACGCACACTGGTGAGCTCGGTTGGAGAGAGACATCACCATCTGATCATGCTTCCCCAGAGGCACAGGACGCTGGTCCAACCTGGACATCTTTGCTCCGAGAGCCTCCACCAGGCTTGGCTCCAGGGGGGGCACCGAGGGAAAACTCCACTCAGTAAACCCCTCCACTCTGGTGATGGGTGCAAATGTGGAAACCGGCGCTCTAAGTCTACCAGGTCTGGCTACAGCCTCGTTCCAGTAGGACGTCACTGCTGGGAAACGAGGCCAGATGGGGTCAGGGCGGTGAGCTGGGGTGAAGGCAAACCTTCCCGCTAAATCAGCCGATCTGGGCGGGGGGAGGAGAGGGACGGAAAGTCCCTTCGTGTCAGCCGCCTCCTGAATTATGCCGGGCAGCTCCGAGAGGAGGGCACCGACGGCTGGGAGCATTGTGGTCGCTGATGTGGAAAGGCCCGGGGGTGGTGAGCATCCGCTCGGACCCCCTCGTCCCGACACCACGCTCTCCAGGATAGAGTGAGCAGTGGGGCTGCTGCTGACATCGCCTGTCCCGGAGGAACCATCCAATTCGCTCCGAGAGCTGGCGTTGAAAAAATCAATGGTGTCGTCCAGCAAACAGTCTCCCGCCATGGAGAGGCACTGTTAGCCTGGAACAAGGCTGCTCGCCTCTGCCTCTCCTCCAGGGGAAGGAGGTCACAGAGGTGGCAGGAGGAGGCGAGGTCGGCATGGCGGGGCCCCAGGCATCTTTCGCAGATGTTGTGCCAATCGAAACTCAGCATGTAGCCGATCTTGCAGGACGGAAACAGGTGGATGATGTTGGTGCTGGACATCGTTGTTGAAACTCAGTGCTATACGCTTGCTGAAGAAAAATGGTAGCCGATTACCCACTCTTAATGTAATTTATATGGACTGGGTGGGGCCAACACAACAGTTGGCGTGGACTCACTTTTTCAGTGCAATGCTTTGCATGACGGGATAAACCCACCAGCGACAGCCTTAAAGGGCGAAGCCTATACGAAATAGAACTGTTAGAATATCATTTATGAAAAATGTTGACCTCGAAAAGGGAAAGATAAACAACAGAAAATAAAGCTCAGAATATTTTGCAGTAAAGGAAAACTGGCACAAACACCCAAGTGGAGCAGTTTACCAGCTGAACACACAGTCAGCTCTGACATGGCTGCAGGCTGAAACCAGCTGTAAGCAGCAGGGAGCCTCCCTGCTCAGTATCACTGATCCGCACCAGCAGGCCTATGTCACAGGTAAGATGACACACATTCAAACATGTTTAGACTAAAATGTGCATTGAAATGAGTTATTGTAATTTTTCCCCCCTACAACAACGTAATTAGAAAGATGGTAAAAAAGGCTGGTGGAAATGAGTGAGACAAAGTTTTTTTAGAAATATTTTTGTGCTTTTTAAACACATGGTCACAATGTGCAGTGGATTGTTCCAAACATAACTTAAAACTTTTGTTGTTAAACTAGAAAAACAAAAAGCTGACATGGCAGCGTACTAGAAAACTCTAACATGCGTAACTAATCAAACTCAGAACAGGACCATGAATATACAGGAGACAGAGCACTGAAGACAAGTATGCCGAACGGAGAAAACAGGAACACAGAAATAACTAAACTAAACGAACAAAACTGAAACACCTGAGCAGACAACGACAACGGTAACAGGTGTGATTGGGCGTGGCAGGACAGAGGGACATCATCAATGCTGAGAAACTCTGAATTGAAAAGAATTGAAATGGAGACAAACTAATCAGACAAACAACACAAGTAAGTGAATTAAACACACAAGGTACAGAAAATATAACACATGGCCAAAATGGGAACTGAGCATGATCTAGAGACACAACAGAACTAAATGCAGAATAACAAAGGGGTGACATCTGATCACAAAACTACAAACCATCAAACAAAATGATCAAAATACACAGATCCTAACATACACACTCTCAGCCCTGCTAGATCTAAGTGGCATCCATCAAGGGTACAAGCTTTGGACTGGACTGACTCTGGACTCAGAACATGGCTGGAAGTGGACCAATGGGAACGCTTTCCGTTATCTGAATTGGGACTCAGGTAGTATTTACTTTCATTTTACTAATCTACAAAGTACTTTTGTATATTTAAAGTGACTTGTTTCTTTTTTTAATGATTACACAAGCAGTTGTTGATTTTACAAAACATTTCTTATTATCAACACAAACAAATGACCCTGTTTACCTCAAAAACTTGTAAACTGTAAAGTAAATAACTTCTGATGGCTTAACAACCTAAATATTGACTCAAAAAGCAGATATTGGTTAACATATACTGTAGATCATTGTGTTGTTTTTGTTCACAACCTGTAAGTTTTATTAGGCAACATGATTGTATTTACAATATAAAGACTTCTTTATATACAATAGTCCCTCATTTATTGCGGGTGTTTGGGACCACGCCCACCAGCGATAAGTGAAAACTGCGAAGTAGGGATACAGTAGTTCAAGTTCACTTCAAGTACAGTAAACGTGCCAGGCTGCAATCACACTCATCACCTGTTACTCCCAATCTCCCTCCTTAAATAAACAATTTAAATGCTGTAACATTTTAAATAAGCAATCCATGCAGCATGGAGTGCTTATTTAAAATGTTACAGTATTTAAATTTAAATTGTAGAGAAGAGAAGTGCAGCAGGACATCAAAGGGATGTCACACCGCTTCAGCTCTGCAGCACGGAGCATTAATGTGCTTGATCAATTACACTTCAAAAACCGAACATAGTAGTTCTAAAATAATTAAAAATAACTTTTAACACTTTTATATTTTGTGATTATTACAATTTTATGATGTGACATACTGTGAATTTTAATTTGGAAGACAAAAGTTGATTGGTGCATCTGGACAGCAAAGGGTTGACCCTTCACAAAGCCACATCAGAAGAAATGTGTGCCTGGCATAGAAGGAGATCAGCTGTTCAGCTGCAGGAAGGAGCTTTCCCCTGCACTTGTGGGCTGCACACATGGTGCAAAATCATTTAAAATAATTTATTTTGAATAAACAATCCATGGCTCATCCATCTATCAGCCAATTGTGTCATGTCCAATCTTACTTTGAAAAACCGTGATATAGCAAATCCGCGAAAAGCGAACCGCGAAGTAACGAGGGACTACTGTATATATTAAATCTTAGCATAGCACAATACACAACATAAAACTTTTATTAATGGATAGCCAAATTAAGAGATATACGTATATCATTGTACCTCTGTTTATCTACTTTGTTGTTTTAGGGTATCCAATTTCATATCCAGGACATGTTTGTGGAATTATGGATGGATCTGTGAGGTTCTCCTGGCAAAATTCAAAATGTGACAAGAAACTGGGCTATATCTGCTACAGTAAAGGAGTTTTGCCTTCTCCTACTGAAAGTAATGAAAGAGATTTTCTCTCCTTTCTGAATTTAAAATTAGTTTCAATTTATATCATTTGTTTACTTCTCAAATTACCTTTTTTTAAATTGTTTTGTAACCAGGTGTAGATGCAGGATTCTGCTCAGCGCCATGGATTCCATACAACGGTCACTGCTTTCACCTTTATCGCACAGAGAAAACATGGACTGGTGCTCGGTCAGCTTGCCTTAAAGAAGGTGGAGATCTCACAAGCATCCGCAACGTGGAGGACCAAAGCTTTGTCATCTCTCAGCTTGGCTACGGTAAAAAACAAAACAAACAAACAAAAAAAAATAATCTACGGCTGGAAAACAACAATTAAATCAGTGGTGGGGTACCAAGTTGCCAGGTTGTTTTAGCATAGAGAGAAACAGCATATTTTTCAATTCAATTCAATTCAATTCAATTCAATTCAAAAATACTTTATTAATCCCAGAGGGAAATTAAATGTTGTTGTAGCTCATTTTCCTTGTTTCATAAAAGAGTTGTTCTAGATGTTGATGGTTGTGGGCGGGCAAAATCTCTTGTGATGGTCCGTCTTATAGCAGATCTGAAAAAACTGGCCACAGATGTTGATCTGTTTACTTGCACTTGATTGGCCTCCTGGGCTTCAGGAGCACCTGAATATTGGGCAGAAATCCTCCCAGGGCAATGGCCATTCCTCCCAGCAGCTTGTTGAGCTCCTAATCGCTGCGGACAGCCAACTGTAGGTGCTGATGGACGATCCTGTCCTTCCGCTGTCATGAGCCGTGTTTCCTGCTAGTTCCAGGATCTCAGTGGTCAGGCACTCGAGCACAGCTGGCAGGTAGATGAAAATGCGTCCACAGAACATCCTTTTCAACTCATTTGAAATTTAGGGCTGTAGTTGAGATATTACTTGAGCTTTTGAGATGTTAATCAGCTGCTGTTGGTTGTAGAAACTGCCTTGTTGCCATGGTTACGCATCATAACAAATGTCCAAAACTAAAAAAGTTTCAGTAAAAATCCTTCCAGCTGCACAGCGTCCGATACCAGAGGAAACAATCATCCAAAAAATGTGATTTACATCCAGAAAAGGAGGAATAAAATTTTCCAAAAGCAAAATCTCAGAATGAAAGTAACAGAGCTGCTCCAACATGCAGCCACCTTGAGCGGCACAATTCTAGAACCAGAATGTGTCATCATATATTGCACGCCATCTTAAAATGAAGTATTTTATATTTAATGTGCAGCAGTTTTTTGTCAAATGAATATGTGATATTAATTTTCCTGTTTGTAGCTTCCACAGACGAGCTTTGGATTGGACTCAATGACAAGAAGACAGAAGGCCTGTTTGACTGGAGTGACCAGTCCACAGTCAGCTTCATCAGCTGGGAACTTGGAAAACCAGCTGTCACCGCAGGACAAGAAGACTGTGTTCTTATCAGGGGAGAGGTATAGATCATCACACGGTGCCTTTTCTTTGTTCTGTGACTAAAACTAACCAGGTCCAAAAAATAATCTATGCAGCTGATACAATATTTTCTAGAGCACACCAATTTTGTTATAGATTTGCTCACAAATGTTAATTCTACACCCTGTTTTTGTGGTAAAAACAACATTTTGTTTCTTTAGCTAACATGTTCGAACATTCATTATAGAAATTTTCTGTGCATTTCTTTTTTGCAGAGTGGAAATTGGGCCGACCGTGAATGTCAGGAGAAACATGGCTTCATTTGTATGAAAACAAGTTCTCCAGAACCCTCTGGGGACGAGGTGGAACAGAACCCGGGCTGCAGGATTGTGAGTGTCTCTTTCAGTATTTAGAATATAAAGTAAGTTTGGATATTCTGCCTCGAATAAAAGAAAAAGTAAAATTTTAACGAACTGGAGTCTAAATGAATACATTTTATATAGATTTTTAGAACAATAATGAAAACAAGATGGCAACTTTAAAAGTCCTATTTAGGTGATTTAGCCACGCAACATGACAAAATTCCTTAATCTTTCTTTTCAAGGGTTGGAAAAGACATGGCTCCTACTGCTACTTTATTGGGACGGAGACAAAGATGTTTGATGAAGCGAAAGACCACTGCAGGGGCTCAGATTCCTACTTGGCAGATATTTCATCAAGGTAAAACCAATAATTATTCATCATAAAATTCTAAACAAACTACTGTATATCTGATTTTTAAGATAAGGAATTACAGCCATTGTAAATATTTAGGTCTAAGGGTTTATAAATCAGGAATTGATAAAGAGAATCATCTGTTTATTTACCAGGTCATAAAATGAGCTAAGTTCAACTTCTGATTTACAATATAATATAACCTAACACATTGTGGTAATATTTAATACAAAGCTAGAAAATTTCAGCAATTTGAATAACAAAATATTAGTTTCATAGGATTTTCAGAGTTTTACTAGCAGCTTGGTGCTGTCAAGCAAAGTCAACAGCAAAGCTGCAGTAAAATCACTGAAAAGTAAATAAATACAAATCTGGTCCAAATTTCAGACATTGGGCGTTGTTATGGCAGGATCTTAAGAAAACTGAATTTCAAAAGGACTTTTTAAAAATCAGGGGTCATGTTTAAAAAGGAAAAGGCTAAATTATTTCACATCTACTTGAAAGACTAATAAAGTCAAACAGAGGTAAAAACTAGTTTAGTTACCATAAATTTTCTCAAATTAACTCTATGGTTTTATTTTTCTGTGTTTTAGCACATCAATTATACTAGGCTGTTATATTATGTATTGTTTGTTTGAGGTTGTGCCAATTTAAACTGAAGAAACATGGGCCAGAATTTTTTTCAAATGTCTCCTGATACGTAAAACTGTAAAGTGTACAGAGGGTGGACTTAGTTTTCCCTGCTAGTATAATAGGCTGTTTACCAGTCATACACATTTGGGTTGTGCGTCAGTCAATAACAAACCCTTTCTTTCTCTTAAACATGTTTCCAGGATGGATAATGCCTTCCTTGTCAGCTTGGTGGGTTTGAGACCAGAGAAACATTTTTGGTTGGGGCTCTCAAACCAGATGAACAAAGATGTTTTTGAGTGGACCAACACAAAATCTGTGAGATTTACTCACTGGAATTTTGAAATGCCAGGTAATGTATATTTTTTAAAAACTTAATTAAATGTACAGTATATGAAAGGCACATTACAATTGACAAATTACAATTTTGTGCTATTTTCATAACAAGGGCACAGCCAGGGTTGTGTTGCTATGGCAACTGGGAGTTTTGCAGGTCTCTGGGATGTGTTGCCTTGTACCAACAGGGAGAAGTTCATCTGCAAACATCTGGCGGAGTGGGCTATTCTAACTCCTGCCCCACCAACTGTTCCCTCCACCACATGTGAATTAGGCTGGACCAAATTCAAATCCAGAAACTTGTGTTATAAGGTAAAATACGGTTCACTCTCACCTCTGATATTTATTTAAACACATTTTTAATGATTAATTATTCAGCAGGAATAATTGATGTCTGTGGACACTATGCTGTTCCTAATTGTTGAGACTGGTTATTTACACACCGTTAACAATCGTTGCGTTTTTGTATTTTATTTTTGCTCAGAACTGAACAATAACAACTAAAAAAACCCTTTATGATCTATTTAAAGAACTGCACGTTAAATGGTTAGAAACATATTCACTTGAGATTGTAAGTCCATCTGGGAGATAATCCATTAAAATTTTGCACTGTAAATGAGGAATAGTGTAACTTTTAAATAAGTTACCAGTTTGCTGAAAATAAGAGTAAACCAAAGTAAAAATTATGATAAACGTGTGATTTAATTGTGAAAAATGATTGTTATAAAATAATTTTGCAATGTTGCTAACCTCTACAGTGTACAATGCTTAAAATATACCATTTCCCTCTCCCAGTCGGATGTCATATAACGCTCAACAGGTTTACTTTGTCCAAATATGTTCACTAAAAGTCAAGATATTGACGACTAGTTCCTGAACTGGAAGCTTGAAAAAAGTATTTCATAAAAATAAATACTGTAAATGGTGGCAAAGTTAATATGTTCACTCTTGAATGAAGTATTAAGGCACTTTCAAACAGGTGTAAAATAATAGTTGAGCTCCATGTGTTAAAGATGTATCAAGCTTATTCAAAACAGAAGACTTGGTATGAGGCCAGAGATTTCTGCAGAGCGATTGGAGGAGACTTGGTCAGCTTCCACAGCGCTGCTGAACTGAAAATGGAGCCATGGAGGTACAAAATGATTTTCTGTACATACTGCATTCACAGCAGCTTTTCAATGTAAGGCATGGCAAATGTTCAGTAAACTCTTCTTGTTACTTACATGACATGTTTGTTTAACATAAAAATCTAGGGTGGCCAACAGGTACAAATGTGCTGCAAACAACTAAATGCTTTGCAAATGGTGAAGCACACTCCTATCTATACACACACACACACACACCCACACACACACACCCACACACACACACACACACACACACACACATA